GCATCAGTCACCGTTTGATTGAGCGCCTCAAGCTGCTCAAATGCAATATTTTAAGACAATGGAGTGAAAGAATCGTAACAGGATTTTTTTTCCCTCAGTTTTTGAGACAACACTGATCAATTGACTATATGAGAAAGTAATAAATAATGAATAGTTGCAGCACTGCAGTGTTGGAACAGGTTTATCCTCCTCAAATAGAGATCTTGTCTGTGTTGGACTTTGCTCAGCTCAAATGTTTCCCTGTCACTGATTAACACATCTAACAACACTTCTTATTGATGTCTTATGTTAGCACTGCTGTTGTTTGAGAGACAGCTGATGTCCTAAAAATATCATTTCCTTGAATATTCTTTTAATATTCAGACATTATTTAGCATTCGATGTGTTATTTATTCCAGTTCTGTCATCCTATTTTGTATTTTCTCCTAGGGCTGCACGATGAATGGAATTTTAATCACGACATTGGCTGTGTTCACACCAGACGCGAGTAAAATCATTCGCATGAATGATTTTCATGTAAAGTCAACGTGAAGACGCGAGTAAACGTCCCGCAGCTCGACTCGCGCGATAACGCAGCGCAATTGACGCAAATCGAGCGAGTTATTCACGCGTATGACGCGATTCTAGACGCACGTCTGAAGAGCAAGTTGAAAAATCTGAACTTTTGCGATCTGACGCGCCGCGATGGCCAATCAGCGTTGAGATCCTCTGGTGACATCAACATGAGTCATTCAATTTTCTACAACTACACCGTCATTACTGATTGATTTACTTTGGAGTTTTATTCACATCCAGTTTATAATTTAGTTCAGAAAATATATTTACAGAATGGAAATGGAAACTAGTGCCATGTTTTGTTGCCTTTTCATTATTCTTTTATTTATCTTTATTTATTATTTAAGGCGTTGCACTGAATTTTGGAGAAAGAGACGACCTATTTTATTTGTTAGCACATATTTGCACATTAACAGGAATGTAGCACAATGTATGGATGTGAAAACTGTTATAATAAGTCTGTAAAACAGTCACATTTGTTTTGGTTAAAATCAACAAATAATCGTGATAATTAATCATGATTTCAATATTTATCAAAATAGTCGTGATTATCATTTTGGCCATAATCATGCAGCCCTGTTTTCTCCTCTTTGAATGTCACTTTTTATCACCAGTTTTTCTGCCCGTATTGTTGTTTGATCTCATAGCTGGTCGGCTAAACCCCGAGCGAACAGATCCTTGTGTTGTTCTATTGGTTCCCTCTGACGTTCCTGTGTTCTGTCTCTCAGCTCCATCATGGCCATGGACGAGGTTTACTCCCCCACGACGGCTCCCAACCCAAAAACCTCCTGGTTACTGGTTCCTTCGGAGCACCTGGATAAACCCCGCTTCATCCTAAAAGTTCTTGAAGTGGTGAGTTCAAAGAAGTGGAAGCTTTTTTTAAAATTCTTATTTACTCCACGAGCTCTTCTGCAACCCCTCCGTTAGATAAGATGTCAGATTGTTGCACATTTTTCTTCCTACAAATCTGCAACCTGCAAATCTTTCTTCTTTTTTTTTTTTTACCAACGTTTAGTTTCATCTAAAACACTGATTTTAAGCAAACAATCAGAAAGTCTTTGCTGAGGACGACTTTCAGCAGCGGATTGTTCCACATTAGTGGTCATGAAGGAACATGTGTAATCGTGATGCATTTTTTTGGTGTTTTTGCACAACAGTGGTTCAGAGGAATCACACACACCAGTGTGTGCGTGTGGTCACATATGTGTGTATGATTGTGTGACCTCTGTTTGACGGGACCTTCCTCATGCAGCACCTCTGTTTAGGAAGCTGCACATTGGGAAGTGAAAGTGTTGCAGAGCTGTTTGGCTGGCGTTAGCAGATATGCAAGCTGCTGACCCTCTGCTGTCGCAACAGTTAACCGAGCAGAGCGGAGGCTGGTCGAGGCCTGCATCCGGCCCCCGGGACTCTGCTCTCCGCTTTTATTAGTGGGTGTTGGACAAAAAGAGGATGTGCATCATGGAGGAAGACTCGGTGTGAAACCTCCCAGCAGGAGCTGGAACAGGCTCAGATTAATAACTCTGTGAATGAGCAGCAGAATGAGGAAAACTTAATAATCAATCTGCAACCAGTGTTTGTTGTCTGAGGATGCAGAACCGATATGGTTTCTTCCAGGGTCGATATCAGTTATTGGTAATCTGTTACAGACATTCATTAAACACTATATAATCACATTTAATAAGGTAACATAGTTATGTATAACATGAAGTCTCCTGCTACCACATGCTGTTAGTAAATAACAGTTAATGATATTAATTTGTAACAGCATGTGATAGCAGGGAGCCTGTCTCTCATAACAAGGTAACTTCAACAATAATGATTACTACAACTGAGTATGTACAATTAAAAATAGGAGTGATGACATCAGAGCGTTATGTGATGGTAGGATGCTCTCCTCTGATCAGCTGATTGAGATCAACAACAGTTTGTCTCCTGTCTGCTGATCTTCTCTGTTTGTTATTCCTTCTCTGTTCTGTCACTTTCATTTGCCCACTAAGGTCCAGATCCTAAAGCGTTGTTGGTTGGTGTTGTCCAGACGGTTTCAGGCTGATCTGTAGCTGCCTCCTAGCTTAGCTGCTAGCTGTTAGCGAGGCAAGTCAGAGTGTTAAAGTTCATCTGACTTTAGGAAGATGTCACACTGCTCCAGATAGTGTTAACCTCAGGCTAAGAGGCACAGCTAACCTCTCAGTGATAGCATTAGCCTAGCACCATCAGCAGAATCAGTACCAGCTGGACTGACACCAGTAGGTGAATTATTCAGGTGTTTCCAGGTGAAACTGAGCAGCTGTGGAAGATTGTGGTGTTTATTGAAACTTCAGTAACTTCTGCTACGTCGCCTTCAAACACAGCCCTGTCTGATAATGTGCTCCTCTGTCTCTGTCTGTAAACAGCCGCTTTCAGTGATTGGCTGTTACTGTGACATGTAACCAATCAGATAGAGCTGTGGGCGGGACTTTGCTGAGACTATACAGTGAGTAGTAGTCAGCCTGTAAGGAAAAAGAAATCCGTTATAAAACTGTGAAAATCTGTCAGCGAGGTGGCAGAAAAGATGCATTAAAAACTTGTAACTTTCCAAAACTGGGAAATAACAGCAAATAACTACATCTATGTGCAGTTACACATTGTGTATGTGCACCTTTCTTCCTTTTTGAAACAGGAAAGGTCTGTAAAATATCAGTTATTTACCATTTTAAGTGTGTAATATACTTTTTTTTTTTTCAAATAACAACAAATACCTGTAAAATCACTGTGTTTTTGCTGATGTAAATACGTTAAAAGCTACATAATTTATGTTCAAATGTTGTAAAAGAACAAAGTTGTGAAAATATGTTTTTTGAGGTTGACCTCAATTACAAAAAACAACAACAACAAAAGCATTTAATTCATTTTATTGTAATTTGTTCATTAAAAGAAAGATAATTGGAAGAAAAAGCAGAATGTGGCCGTGATAATCGCTCGATCCCAAAAACTGTTTGAAATGTGAAGTGAAAGTCAGACCAGGTGTTTAAAAGGTGTGAATGCATTTGTCTCCACAAGACAATAAATAATCTGACATGTTTATCTGACCTGTGTGGGCTTCTGTAGACTCACAGTACATCTTCTGTTTATCTTTATCTTTGTTTTGTTGGGTTGTAAATGAGGCCTCTAGCTCAGTGTAGCTCCAATAAAGATTTACATTTATAGCAGCGTAAAAAGTGTAAAAGAACGACAGCTTCATGCATCAGCATCATGCAGTGACAGCTGTGGTTACGGTTTAGGTGAATGTCGGTGAAACTCCCGCAGCTGCTGACATATAAAGATCACTTTGAATCAATCAGGTCACATCTGCAGCCCACAGCTCTTTCCAGCGGCCTGTGCACAAATGAAATATACATTTTGGGGAATTTTGGCCCTGACACTACGTGCGAATCGTAGCGTCTGAATTTGTGTTTCTAGGTGGTTTCAGGGCAGAGCTTTAACCTGAAAGGAGCACAAATACAGAAACAGCTCAGGATGTCCCAGACAGTCAAGGCGTTCGTTTATCTGGTCAGTACTGGAACGAACCTCAGCGCGATCTTTACTGCTGCTGCTGTCACACAGGACATCTGACAAATGTTCTTAATGAATGCAGTCTTACATCCATATTTTATTTTTCAGACATTTTATTAATATTTTTAGAACATTTTTCAGGTTGTTTTTTTTTAAACAATAATCTAAGTATCGTGTATTTTTCAGATATCTTATTTTTTTCCAGATGATTTTCAGATACTTCTACTCATATATGTTTTTTGTTTTTTTTTAATTTTCAAACATTTTATTGGTATTTTTAAATCACCTTTTATGTATCACATTCATATTTTTTAGAGGATTTCTCAGGTATTTTACTAATATTTTAGGAACAATTTGTTACACATGTTATTACTATTTTTTATTTATTTATTTAGTAATTTTTTTTAAATATATTTGTAGATATTTATTAGTAAAATATATTACAGATATAGATATTTTTAGTTATTTTATTGAAACATTTAGGGTGATTTTCTGGATTTTAGGGTGGATTTTCGAAATATTTTTAGGACATTTTACTTTTTATATTTTCATTTTTTATTAATATTTTGGGGACTTTTTTTCTGGTATTTTATTGATAATTTTAGGGGATCATTATTGATGTTACAACACATTTCCTGGCCACCTACACACCATGAAGGAAGAGCTTTTTTTTTTATTATTCACTGGATTGATTTAATACATTTAATGAATCATCAAAAACACTTGAGTAGGACATATACTTCAAAGGCCTGTAACTCTGTAACTGTACAACCTCCAGGTTTTCTGGCACTTTCACGACAAACTTTTGGCAGTTTTCTTTCTGGCAGCACCTCATTCATGCACACAGAGTGATTCAGAAGCAGCAGCTGTTTTACTTTGGGTTGGTCATTCTGGGTGTATTAGTGATCGACTGTTGTCTGTTAAAGTCAACGTGGGCTTTCGGTCTGTGACGCTTCCGATCATCGTGTTGTTTTGAGAAGTGGTAGAAAAAGCAGCTTTTTGGTTCCTCAACAGTCAGATTGGTGAAATGGGGACTGACTTCTGCTTTAAAGGAAGATAAACAATAACATGAAGTAGTTTCTCACAGTTTCGCAGCTTGCGTGTGAAACCACGTCACAGTCAAGTTCCCCACAACACGACCGAGTCGCAGGCGTTCACAGTTTCACAGGCAAATGTATTCATATAGCATGTAAGTCTATTTATATACAGCATGTAGTGGATATTACAGTCCACGCTGTATCCATGCGAACATCATAGCTCCTGTAGGTATGAGATGTCCTCCTGCACATAATCACTTTTGTTCTTCTGGCACCAGCAAGTGAAGTCAACCTCTAAGCAGCCGGGTGATAATGAGCAGCAGACGGACGCTAAATTAGCTGCAAGTATTTTACACGTGGCTCCTCATTCTCAGGATTCTTCTGAAGATAAATGACGTTAAGAAAGAGGATAGCTACAGGATGCAGCTGCACGTTGGGGGCGTATTTTCTGCTCAGATGAGAATTCGACCCACTTGTTGACACCTCGCGGTGCATCGTTTTCATTTTAACTCTCTGGATTGGACTGAAAGGCACGATGTCTATAAAAACATAGATATCAGCAGACACACTTTGTTCTACAGGTCTTATTTAAAATTTTGCCAAAACAACATTCTGCAGTTTCTGGGTGATGTTTAATCTGAAAATCTAGAAACTCTGGTTTACCATCATGTTGCAGCTATTATTTGATTTATTTCATTAAGTTTCTGTCCAGTGACTAATGGATTATTTTGTTAATTGTTGCTGATTACTGGTGTGAGAAACAGCAGCCAGAATTGTAGAAATGAGGCTGTAATGATGTGATGTCGGCGTATTTCCAGTGTAAGCAGCATGAAACACCGGGACAGCTGCTGACTGCTGTGTTTCATTAGAAGCGAGTGTTGTGGTTGAACTGCTCCGACCGCTCAGCCATGTGGGCGGCGGCTGCTTCCCCAAACAAGCAGCATGAGGGCGTTCTGGGCGCGTCCAAACCACGATGGCACTCCATCACCCCGACAGGAGATCAATATCACTCTGGCACTATTAGCCGGGTATTTCACGTCATTAATGTGAGAATTTTGAAGCACAAGAAACTTTTCTTGTTTTAACAGGATTGTTTGTTGCTGTTGTGGAATCTTTCCTCAGTGTGGACTCATGTTTCTCTGCAACATGAAGTCCTGCTTCTCTGTGGAAACGACACAACCACGACGAGAAGGAGGGAGAACCCAGACTCAGTTAGAATGCTTTAAATTCTAAACAAGAACAAATTCATGTTGAATTAATTTGATTATTTATTTTGCAAAAATTGGGCTGCGAGGTGGTTCAGTGGTTAGCATCGTCGCCTCGCAGCTGGAAGACCCCCAGTTCGCATCCCGGTTTGGACGTCGGGATCTCTCTGCGTGGAGTCTCCATGTTCTCCCCGTGCAGCGTGGGTTCTCTCCGGGTTCTCCAGCTTCCTCCCACAGTCCAGAAACATGCTGAGGTTAATTGGTGATTGTAAATTGTCCGTAGGTGTGAATGTGAGTGTGCTTGGTTGTCTGTCTCTAAGTGTAGCCCTGTGATAGACTGGTTACCTGTCCAGGTGAACCTGCCTTCACCCTGAGTCAGCTGGGATAGACTCCAGCCCCCCATGACCCTAGTGAGGATTAAGCGGTGTATAGATAACGGATGGAATTTGCTTCTTTACTTGAGTCCTGTCTGCTCTGTGGAAACACAGCCTGCAGCTCAGCAAAAAAATCAGAATTTTTGTCACATGACTGTTGGTCACAGCGAATGACTTCAGCTTTGCTCCAGAATGTTTTGTCTTTAGTGCAAACTGTTTGTTTTTGTCAAATGTTTAAATGAGATGTGTAGAATCACAGGGTTTTGATTTCACAATTCTAATACTGAGATTTTTGAATGGCACACGATTAGTTCAAGGACCATCAAAAAGTTGAAAGTGTGATAATACAATCTGTTTCTATAGTGTCTGGTGATAAATGGAATCATTTTGGTGATTTAAAAAAAAAGATAACGTGGTTTTCACGCCAAGTGGTGGCTTTTCAGGTCATGCAAATGGTCCCCTAAACTTCCTGTCACTGTTTTTGCAGGGGCACCATCCCTGCATTCTGGGCTTAGCTCCACCCACAAATATTGTAAATTGATTAAAGAAATAACTAACAAGCCCAAAAGCTTTTTATCCCCAGATAGCAGAATAATAATGAGGTGCAGTCAGACCGCTCTGCAGCTCTGTGGAGACAGAATAAAGTAAAGCAAGTTTCAAGGTGTGTCATAAGTTCTAAATACTCTGTTGCACAACATTCACTTTGAAAAATGTGCACCGACAGTTTAAAACGTCCACATTCTGCATGTTTTTCAGCAACGTTTTGCACTTCTATGCTGCACAATCACAGCCCGCGCTCCTCCTCTGAGCTATGCTGAAGCTGACGGCTCCATATACATTAAACCCACAAAACTAGGAGGCTAAAAAGCTCAGAAGCTGCAGAGCTGTGTGATGCATTATTAACATAAAAACATAGACGGTGGAGTTTTCAAGGCCTGAGGATGCGTAGGATGTTTTCGCCATCTCTGCTGTGCACTTTGTGGTTAAACCAGACTTAGTTCCCATTACACCACCGGGTTTTATTGTAGGAATATTCAGTGTTAAAGTGAATTTGGCGAGCCGGGTTATAAAAAGGCTTTGTGTTTTCTTCAAGCACAGACAAACCTAGAACCACAGAGCTAAAATCAGACCGTCTGACGTCAGCAAAGTACAGGCTGAGCGAGAGCCTCTGCCGGCCGCCACCAAACCACTTCTACTGAACACAGAGGAGTCGCTGCAGGATATTTTTATGATCCAAAAACTGTGGAAACAAATGTTGAGCCTAAGCAGCTAATACAGCATGTAAGACGAGAGCAGACACAATTATAGGATCCTTCCAGCTACGAGGAAAAACACTCACATGATTGTGGTTTTTGCCTCCAACAGTCTGAGCCCACAGTACGTCTCCTCATGTTGTGTTCTGATGCTACCAACAGATTCATCAGAAATCTCATGTTTTAAAGGGCAGTTGTTGTTTTTTTTAAATGCCACTTAATTCTGAAAATAGATATGGTAATAATAATTTAAAAAAAAAAACATCTGGAGGGTTTTTAAGAGTCCATAAACAGTGTGATAAACCCACTGCCTCAAAACCAGTTTTAACAACAAGACATCTTTAAAACATCACTTATCAACCAGAAAACTGCAAAAACAGAAAGATTAATCAGATTTTTAACTCTTTCTGTTGGTCCTGGAAATATTCATCTGTGACTTCTAAGCTTAAAGCTGTGATATTTCAACAAAATCCCTTTATTTATGTTTCATTTAAGAATAAAACGTTTGCTTTGTACAGAGTCTATAAACAACAAAAAAAGAAATTTGGAGCTCTTTGGCGTAACCGTGAAGTCATGAGCAGCTCACCACATGACAAAAATTCAAGGTATTCAGGTAAACTGCATGTTAAAAACAAAAAAAAGGTAATTTAATACCTCCAGCATGTGAAACCTTCATTCTGTGGACTCTTATTAGACACACTGATTCCAGGATTGTCTTATTTATGGCAGTATGAATGTGTCCTACAGCACAGAAGACGTTCCTGACTTCTCTCCTTCCAGCCATAGTTTGCTGTTTCCATAGAGGCGCACGACTTTGTGTTGCAGTGAAAAACCATAGACTGTATAAAAGATGGACGTAGCAACCGGCCCTGAAACATGAAGCCAACCCGGAAGTGTCAAAAACCTGCAATATCACTACGTCCACTAGCTGCTGGCTCCAAAAAGCCCTGGCTCCCATAGACTGGAACTGGAAAAGAAGTGATCACAGATCACGAAATACCGCATTCCTACAGCTCAGGATTGTTTTCTTATTAGTTTTCATGGTCAGATCCAGAGATCAGGTGGCCAATCTGAAAATAAATCAATACTGAATTTTTAAAAAATCATCAACATGTTGCGGGGCAAGGGGCGTGGCTGGCTTGATTGACAGTCGGCAGCGACTATACAGACGAAGCGAGCAGAAGGCGGTAAATGTGGGCGGGGCAGAGAGGGCCTGCCTCTCAATCCGTCTGACCAATCGCTGCTCCTATGGCTCCGCCCCCCTCCCAAGATTTTTGCGTCACTGGCTCCAAAAATCCAAGATGTCAACCAGGAAGTCGCAAAACCCTGGCTTCATGTTGTAAGTGCAGAAACCAACGGGTGACATCACGGCAGCTACGTCCATCTTTTATACAGTCTATGCTTCTAAGCTTAAAATTGTGATATTTCAACAAAATCCCTTTATTTATGTTTCATTTAAGAATAAACCGTTTGCTTTGTACAGATTCTATAAATAACAAAAAAGAAATTTGGAGCTCTTTGGCGTAACCGTGAAGTCATGAGCAGCTCACCTGTGACCAACATGACAAAAATTCAAGGTATTCAGGTAAACTGCATGTTAAAAGATAATGAAGTACCTCCAGCATGTGAAACCTTCATTCTGTGGACTCTTGGAAAAATATTAGACACACTGATTCCAGGATTTTCTTATTTATGGCAATACGAATGTGTCCTACAGAAGCACAGAAGACGTTCCTGACGTCTCTCTTTCTAGCCATACTTTGCTGTTTCCATAGAGGTGCACAACTTTGTGTTGCAGTGAAAAACGAGGGGCACAGTGGGTAGAAACGAGACAGGAGTGTCAGAACACAACGAACCTGCTCAGTTTGGAGTTTTAACTCGGTGAACCTGCAGAAAACCGTCGTGTCATTGTCGCTGCTGCTCTCCCAGTGAAACAACCTTTGTGTCTGGTTCTCCCTCAGCTGCTGTCCTGCGTGGCCTTCGCCCTGGAGGAGACCGTCAGCAGCTGCATTTCCTGCTCGCCGCTCTACTTCTTCGAGTTCGTCAGCTGCACGGCCTTCCTCTTCACCCTGCTGCTCCTCATCCTCCTCGCCACGCCGCTGCACCAGAAGGCCACCATCAGCTGCTGGCCCACTCTGGTAAGAAGCTGCTGGAGCTCACCTGCACATTCATCTTCCAAACCTCACCTGTTGCCTTCTGTCTGAGCCTCCCAAACACACAGCGATTGGAGGTTAGCTTAGCTTAGCATAAAACTCAGGGCGGGCTCACCCAGGTTTGTCAAACTTTCCTCAAAGCTGCAACCGACTTAAATCTCAATACACGTGTGATAAATGTAGTGTTAGACTCAGCATGACGCACACTTTCTAATCTTAACTCTGACCGACATGAACAAACATAACTTCCAAATACAGGAAGGGACACTCCTTATAATTGCGAGCTTGCCTCAGAATTTACACATTTGTAGATTTGATTCTGTGTCACATTAATCCAGAGATAATTCTTCATACTTTCATGGCTGTAAATAGATAATTCAGTGTTGATGTGTCCA